AAAACCTCCTTGAGCACAATTTGATTATTGAAATTCACTTCACCCATTTGTGTGACTTTCACTTGAGAACCATTAGGCAGATTCACTAGAATTGGAGTAATCATCATTGACTTTCTGCAAACTAAGTCAATGTCACAGCAAATATGTTTGCTGGCCCCTGTGTCTATGATCCAACTTCCTTTGGCAATCTTGCTTGTCATGGAAAAAGCATAGTCTTCTGAATCATCCACCAGTTCAGCAAAGTGAGAGTAAGATTGTATCTCTGAGTTCTAGTGACTAACCATGTACTTAGCCACCTCCTTTTGTATGAGCATACCAATGTCAGCTGAAGAATCACTATGTTGAGATCTTGTTTCAGAATCTGTCCTTGATGAATCTTCCTTTTCTGCCATGTTAACATTTTGGTTCTGCCTTTGCTCCCTTGGTTCCTTAAACCAATCCGGGTAGCCATTGAGTTTGAAGCAACTTTGGATGTCATGACCATTGTATCCACAATGAGTGCAAAAAAGTTTAGCCCTTTCTTCCTTTGACAGCCTTGGCATATTTCTTCCTCTACCACCATTGTTAAATTGTTGTCCAGAAAAATTCCTTCATTACCACGCCCAAAGTTCTGCCCTCTACCTGTTCCTCTCCCAAAACTACTCTTCACTAGCATAGCTGAGTTTTCAAATTGATTCATTCCAGCATATAGGCCTTTCTGCTTCTCCACCTTCAATAACATAGAGTAGGCCTTGTTCATGGTAGGGAGAGGTTCAAGTAACAATATCTGATTCTTGACAGGCTCAAAAACTTCATTTAAACCCATGAGAAATTGCATGAGTTTCATTTCCATGTCCAGCTCAAAAAAGACTTTACCAGCCCCACATTCACACTCAGGTACTGATCTAAGAGAAGAATATTCATCCCACAAACATTTTAGCTTTGTGTAGTATGTGGTAACAGTCATTGACCCTTGTACAAAAGTAGCGATTTCCTTTTGCAATTTATACCTCAGCGGTCCATTACTCTCACCATATCTTTCAGCTAAGTCATCCCAAAGTTGCTTAGCAGTTTTAACACACATAAAAGCTTCTACGATATCTTTCGAAATACATTTAAGAAGCCAGGAAATTACCATAAACTCTACCTTTTGGTACTGATCATGTTCTTCTGAACCTAGATCTGGAATTTGTATTGTGCCGTTGATAAAGCCGAGTTTCGATTTTGCTCCTAAGGCAAGCTTCATCGCCTTGCTCCAATGGAGGTAGTTTGCACCAGTCAGTGGATTAGTGACAAGAACCATCCCAGGGTGGTCCGATCCATG